GCTTGATTGATGAGAGTGCCTTCACTTCTCTGTTTGATTTGAAGGCCAAGGAAGTAGTTGAGTTCCCCCATCATGCTCATCTCAAATTTTCCTTGCATGAGGGTTGAGAACTTGGTGCAGAGATTTTCCTTAGTTGAGCCAAATATGATGTCGTCCACATAGATTTGGACTAATAGGAGATCTTCTCCTTCTTGTAGTTTGAACAATGTCTTGTCAATGACTCCTTTGGTAAATCCATTGTCTATAAGAAATTGAGACAATGTATCATACCAAGCTCTTGGTGCTTGTTTGAGTCCATATAGCGCCTTTTTGAGTCTATACACTTGATCTCCCTTAGTGTGTAACTCAAATCCTGGAGATTGTTCCACATAAACTTCTTCCTCTAGGTTTCCGTTGAGAAATTCGCTTTTGACGTCCATTTGATAGACCTTGAAGTCCTTATGAGCAGCAAAGGCTAGAAACAGCCTTATAGCTTCAAGTCTAGCAACTGGAGCAAAGGTTTCATCAAAATCTATACCTTCTTCTTAACAGTATCCTTTTGCAACTAACTGGGCCTTGTTTCTGACAACAACGCCGTTTTCATCCATCTTGTTCCGGAAGACCCACTTTGTCCCAATGACATGTTGATGAGTAGGTCTGGGAACAAGTTTCCAGACGTCATTTCTAGAAAATTGGTTTAGTTCTTCTTGCATTGCATTAATCCAATCAGAATCAGCTAGAGCTTCGTCAATATTCTTTGGTTCCACTTGTGAGATGAAACAAGCAAGCATGGCTTCTAGATTCTGCTGGGCACTCCTTGTGCGAACGCCAGTTTGAATATCTCCAATGACTTGTTGAGGAGGATGATCCCTTAACCAACGAAGATTGTGTTTATTGGGATTGACTGGTTGATTTAGTTCAGCTTTTGGTTGAAGAACAGAAGTTGTTGGTGTTTCCGGATGGATTGGCACTGGTCACCATTTCCGGAATTGTCACCGTTTGAGAGATCCGGAATGTTGGAAGGCTGGCCAAAATTTTCGGAAGGCTCAGCACTATCTGAATCCGGATTTCTCTGTGAAGTCTTCAGTGGTAGACTTCTGAATGGAATGAACTCCGTGGGCTTCATTCTATCTCCTTCATTGACTTCTTCATCCTTGTCTGATAGATCCAGAACCTCATGATCATGCTTTGATGGTTTGTCAACCACATGTTTTTCATCAAAAATGACATGTATTGACTCTTCAGTGATCATGGTTCTTTTGTTGAAGACTCTGAATGCCTTGCTCACCATGGAGTATCCTAGGAAGATGGCCTCATCTGATTTCTCATCAAAAGTGTTCAGATGATTCTTCCCGTTGTTTAACACAAAGCACTTGCTCCCAAAAATATGGAAATATGATATATTAGGCTTTCTCC